GTGGTATTATGGACAAATACTTGTATATATAACCCTTCATAATAAGCCTTTAAACGGGTAATAAAACAACCCTCACAAGCATGTGCATAGATTCTACAAATATTTAAGATTTGCCAGTTTTAGACTCCACAATTTACAAAATTGTATAAACTTTGCACTTAATGCTAGTTTCATAAATTGTCATTTATTTTCTAGCTTAAATATATGCACATTAATATTAGCGAATAGTCTCTTGTTAAGAGTTCATTAACAATGATGGAATATAGTAGGTTTCTGTGCATCAGTCTCCAGTCCATACTCGTCTGCTGCTATTTATATTGTAGTAGTGTACCCCCCCATACCCCCATCATATGGGTGATAGACCCCATACAGTGATTAGTTGTGCAGACCTATATTCATCCTGTGGGCGGTAGTGAAGGTTGCTAGTGTTTAACGAAGGCTTTAATGAACTGCATTTACGTAACGGTAAAGTGCAATATTAAGTATTTTAAACTTGTCATTGCTAATGTTGACTTCCTCTCGTCCCCAGGTCCGGCCAACTACAGTCACACAAGAGAAGGCATAGAGGACAGTCTGACTGAACATCTACGACGACGGAATAAAACGATGACCTAAATTAAGAAGTTGGGAATGAATTGGATCAAATCTACACTGATGGGTCATCTAACCCTGTCAATGGCAGGGCTGGTGCAGCATTGAGGAATAATGCCTTAAGACGTGAAAATGAAGGAAAAGCCCGTATTGAGAACTACGCTCTTCAACGCAAGTAGAGCTAATGGCCATTGTTATGGCGTTAAGGTTCTTTGAACGAAACGCCAATTTGCAGTAATCTGCATTGATTCACAAACAGCGCTACAAAGCCTTAGTCGGGCAGAAAGTCTTGCAATAGCTGCTGAAATCTCAAGTTGAGAGCACTAACCAATCAAGGAAGTCGTAAAACTTCTGTGGATCCCTCCCATGTTGGAATCTATGGAAATGCACAACAAATGTTCTGCTAGCTGCTGAAGACGCTGAAAGACCATACAGGTTTTTCATACCCGATTTCTACAAATTAGAGGTATTGTCAAGCAATATCAGTGACAATGTTGCTGAGGTAAGCAGGATAGAACAAAAAACCAGTGAATCTGAACGCTGATACAATGTGGTTGCCACTGGCAATCCCAATCAATATGGACGAAGAGGTGGTGGCCGCGGGACAGAATCGGTAAAAGAGAATCCGTCTTGGATACAAATATCCATGGAGATTCGGAATGGAAACAGTTGGGCAGCAAAGTTGCAGATTCTGTGGTGGACACCGCCTTGACAACTACCAGTGTGTGAACGTTTAAGTCATTAGAAATGTGTAGCATAATGCCCACATTAAGCTAGGAAAAGTCAAATATAAGGTTCTTCAGAGATTTCCCCCGTACGATAACGTAAGATTTTAAGGGTTGACAATGTTAATCTCCTAGTTTTGAGAAACTGTTCACTTGACAGTTAAGTCCCAGCTGTGTCTGGGTACAAGTGACAGGATGAACAACCCAGCGGGTTTTCTTCCTATTGGGAAGTGTTGTACATGCTGCTATGGCGGTGTGTCCACTCACAGGATGAGTGGCGCTGCCCAATAAACTCGCCCCTCGGGGCAAAATCTAAATTTAAAACTATGCCCTGTCCGTCATCACTTGGTCTTGTATATATGAAGGTACATTGGGTTTGAATACGTAGCATTGATGTTTTTACTTGTAAAGCCAATAACACGCAGTTTCGGGCAGGTCCTTAATCTAACGGATAATTTTAAGTAGGTAATTTATAGCAAAATAAAAGTTAACCCTCGAATTTTACTTTAATGTACCTGTTATCAACAGGTACATTGTAGCATAATTTGAAAATTAAAGGAAATGTAGTAAAATGCGTTAAATATAACCATTTGAAAGCAAAGATTAGAATGAAGTTGTATGGTTTAAGTACATATTTTGGAGGATTGGGTAGTAAGATAGTTTTCATCTAAGAACTTCCCATATTGGTTTCCAAATGCATGATAGAATTGAGTTAGCAAAAACCTTTTACTCAAAGGAAGAATAAATTACCATCTTGGACTGACTGTGAGCAGTCTGACAAATCTTAAATCTCTTCGACTAGGTGAAATTCACACCAGTTACTCATTCTATTATGCACGAAGTACCGCAAGATTAAAGGTCATCCAATAATGGTTAGTAGACTTCTAGATGTCACCGCTGCTAGGCTTAGGCTCGGCTACAAGTACCTCTGGGAGTTTGTAACATCTCCTGATGTAGATGTGACAATGAAAACTGTCGGCAGAACTATTTGCATACTTTGCGTCGTCATATACTGGAATGTGGAAAAAAACGCAGAATTCAGAGAACACCATCAATGGAGTCCAGGAAATGTGTAAGTACTGCATCCATAATGATGTGCTGCCGGGCATCTGAGGAAGTATCCGAAAGTGCTCACTGTAGGTGCAGCCTGCACATGGTTGCACATGGTTGTAAAGCTGCCGCCCAATTGGGTGGCGCACATAAGCTGCCGCCCAATTGGGTGGCGCACATAAGCTGCCGCCCAATTGGGTGGCGCACATAAGCTGCCGCCCAATTGGGTGGCGCACATAAGCTGCCGCCCAATTGGGTGGCGCACATAAGCTGCCGCCCAATTGGGTGGCGCACATTACTAAAGCTGCCGTCGTCGTGTGGAGAACATGGCTAAAGCTGCCGCCCAATTGGGTGGCGCATATAAGCTGCCGCCCAATTGGGTGGCGCACATAAGCTGCCGCCCAATTTGGTGGCGCACATTACTAAAGCTGCCGTCGTCGTGTTGAGAACATGGCTAAAGCTGCCGCCCAATTGGGTGGCGCATATAAGCTGCCGCCCAATTGGGTGGCGCATATAAGCTGCCGCCCAATTGGGTGGCGCACATTACTAAAGCTGCCGCCGTCGTGTGGAGAACATGACTAAAGCTGCCGCCCAATTGGGTGGCGCACAAAAGCTGCCGCCCAATTGGGTGGCGCACAAAAGCTGCCGCCCAATTGGGTGGCGCACATTACTAAAGCTGCCGTCGTCGTGTGGAGAACATGGCTAAAGCTGCCGCCCAATTGGGTGGCGCATATAAGCTGCCGCCCAATTGGGTGGCGCACATAAGCTGCCGCCCAATTTGGTGGCGCACATTACTAAAGCTGCCGTCGTCGTGTGGAGAACATGGCTAAAGCTGCCGCCCAATTGGGTGGCGCATATAAGCTGCCGCCCAATTGGGTGGCGCACATAAGCTGCCGCCCAATTGGGTGGCGCATATTACTAAAGCTGCCGCCGTCGTGTGGAGAACATGACTAAAGCTGCCGCCCAATTGGGTGGCGCACAAAAGCTGCCGCCCAATTGGGTGGCGCACATTACTAAAGCTGCCGCCGTCGTGTGGAGAACATGGCTAAAGCTGCCGCCCAATTGGGTGGCGCACATAAGCTGCCGCCCAATTGGGTGGCGCACATAAGCTGCCGCCCAATTGGGTGGCGCACATTACTAAAGCTGCCGCCGTCGTGTGGTGAACATGGCTGAAGTTCTCCACAAAGGCGGCAGTAGCCGCCCAATAGGGTGGTTGTAAAGCAAGAGTGTCACTATAGTGCCATGTATAGTGACTTTAGCGCCTCTTGAATCACTATATCAGAAGATCATCGACATGTATGTATTTGTGTAAATGATTGTATACACGTAACATTAACCATTGTCCAGGGAGCTTCAAACGATTGGCACAACTCTGGGGCTCACTTCCTGAACCCATTATGTGACTAACCCTTTCCACCACCGCCCACGGGATGGGTATGGGGTGCATAAGACAAGATCAGACCTGTTATGTGACTATCAAACTTATGAACTATCAACTAACTTTTAGATTTAGATGCTTTGAAGTATTTAAGAATCTTTTTACATTCTTTGATACAATAGTCCAGATGGATACACCTATAACATCAATAGTTTGAATAACTAGAGTTCATATTCATTGTCCTACTGCCTCGTATTTATCCAAGATTGAATTCTAAAATGGACAAGCAAACTCAAAATTCAATGGCAGAGGCGTCTGACAGCTTTCTTCCAAAAGATCAACGGTAGTTGATCGGTAGTTAATGTAGTTTCTAGCTCCTATACGAAACCACGTCAGATGCAAAACTTTTAGCCCAAGATAGACTAGTAGAACAAGAGATCTTTGAAGGAAGACAAAGGTAAGGTAATTATCAAAAGAAGGCACCAAACCGGGAAGGCTATGTAGCACCATCAAAGTGCGAAATAATCAGAGGGCGAAGGAAGACAAATGATGCTTGGATTAATGGAGTGAGCCATAATGGACCAACGCAGGAGACCAGCGGGAGTGTTTACCAGTCTCTCCCTGTTCAGGCGGCAGCCCAAGTGTCCGTACTCTTACTCCACCAGGGCGTCCCAACATGCGGCAGCCCAAGTGTCCGTACTCTTACTCCACCAGGGCGTCCCAACATGGCTCAGTGGGCGGCCACAAACACGAGGAAGGTTACAGTCTTTCAGTTCACGAGGTTGACGTTACTCAGGTTGTCGTGGCCGACTCTCGCATCTTCGCTATTTTTAAAGTAGAAATTCACCAAATAAAAAGGTTATCCATCAATGCAAGTATCACTTCACATAATTAAAACTGATGGAACAAGCTCAACACATCATGCGTGCATCACTTTTTCCACATTTTAATAAGTTTCATAGAAACTTCAGAGGGATATACTTTCGTTACTTTAACATTTGTTATCTCGTGCAAAACAGTTCTTCCTGATACTCTCACACTGACAAACCAAACAGGACAAAAGTCCTTCATCGTAGATAACTAGCGAGGTCACTGAGAACGAGGCCCAAAATAGTGCCACAACCAGGTTTTACAAGTAACCCGCCTACACTCCCGTCTGTTGTGGGGGGGGGTACTTTGTAGTGAACCACCATATGTACACTTTCTAATGTCTTGGGACAAGTCAAGCCATTAATAATTTCTTTAACCAACATTTATTAATTTTTTCCTAAAACTAAACAAAATTACCCTAACTTAATTAAGGTATTTCGTGGCAAGTTGTATAGACAAAGCATCAAAAGACCTAGGTAAGGTATTCAAGAAAATTGTGCTATAATTAATTTTAATATTTTACAATATAACCTTTCAGCAAACTAGGCCATTTTCTGGCAAAAAATATCAAAGGCTGGTCCCACAGACCGACATGCTGGCAATGTCGTGCCACTTTATGCCTTTGTTATACATGTTCTTCAGTGCCCCGAGACGGTCCTCTTGGCCTTCCCTGTTGTCACCCGAGCCTGGGGACGGGAGTAACATCAGAATTATGATAAGATTCAAGACATCTAAGTTAATATTACCTTTTACGGACCTCTTTACACCCGTTGAACCCCTTACGAGTTTTACGAAATCTACCAAACACCCGGTATGTTATGACAATTTGAGCTATAATAACCCATTAATAAAGTCAGACAAGCCATACAGACCCTCCAGCGAGACCAGTTGGTGCAGACAGTGTACCCGGGTGACCACCTCCAGGCCCTCGCTCCGCCCTCATAGTCGCTTCTCCACACGAACTGGACCACACTTGAAAATTACGTCGTGTTAGAAAAAGTCTTGGTCGTTAAGTAAATTAGTCCAGCAGGATGACCATATTAAATGTTTAGTGCACATTTCAGTTATTTGTAACCATGTTAAACACTAACAAGTAAACTCACTGACTGAAGTGTTCCTTATCTTGAATTATTAATTAGCTGCAACTCTCTGCCAAGACTAGCAGTAAGAATTGGCTTGATCCCAGCTGTAGGTACAGTATTAGTATTTGGTGTATACTGGCAGCAGGTTCTCAAACATGTCTCACTGAATATGACCGCATATTCCGTATTTACTATCTTCTGATTTAGGGCTTCTATCCCTGTTTTCTTAGCATCAGGGCTTAGCTGAAAGAGGAGTTCTCCAAAACTCTTTTTCGTAATTTCAAGGTGAAGTGAATTATTATAGAATGTATTACACTTATACAATTTGCACAACGTTTCGAACCTCTATGGTTCATTCTAAAGTGAAGAATTAACAGAACTGGTTGATTTATACCCGCACTGGGTCAGGTGACAAGACAATAAAAGGTAAAAACATGGATACACAAGGGATAAATCGGGAATGAAGCACATAAGGTAAGGTAATTGCAGAAGGCCTATTGGCCCATACGAGGCAACTCCTATCTACATACAAATATTAATCAGGTGTAATTGGCCTGTTATGTTGAACAGTGTCTTGTGTGTTGGCATCGTTATGTTCTGGTCTTGTCCTTACTCTCATGGTGGGTGAAGACCAGAACATAACGATGCCAACACAGAAGACTGTTCAACATAACAGGCCAATTACACCTGATTAATCTTTGTATGTAGATAGGAGTTGCCTCGTATGGGCCAATAGGCCTTCTGCAATTACCTTACCTTATGTGCTTCATTCCCGATTTATCCCTTGTGTATCCATGTTTTTACCTTTTATTGTCTTATCGCTTGACCCAGTGCGGGTATAAATCAACCAGTTCTGTTAATTCTTTTCACTTTAGAATGAACCATGGAGGTTCTAAACGTTGTGCAAATTGTTTATAGTAATACATTCTATAGTAATTCACTTTTTTCTTCACCTTTAAATTACGAAAATGAGTTTGAGGACTTTTCTTGGCATCAGGGCTTACCTGAAAGAGGGATAAAAGCCCTAAATCAGAAGATAGTAAATACAGTACAGAGTATTAGTATTTACGCACAGTTCATACTAGCCGTTGTTTTGATGCATGTGAAACGGTTTAAAATTTAATCGAAATTTACTCAAAGGGGAACAACAAGAGTCATGTTGAGGCTTCAAACCTGCATCTTTGGTACGCTAAGCACATTACTCTTGATCTATGAGATTTAGAGACTAACCAAATCAAAACCAGAATATTTTACTTACCAGGTATTCCACAGGATGGAGTGTCGAGTTCCCTGTCGCCTTTAAGGCCGGGAGACAAGCTGGGGGTGAGGGGCGAATGGGAGCTGGGGCACTTCAAGTGCAGGAAGGTGTTGGAAGGACAAGAGTGCCGCTTGAAGAGAACTGTTGGACGTAATATAGAACTAAACTAGTTTGAAACCGTTTAGTCTCTTGTGAGAACTGTAGAGACTCCCTGAAGGACTTTTGGGAAGGGAGAGGCGAGACGAATACTGGTGCAGACTCGGGAGTTTTACTCAAGAGACGACTGGTCCACCACCACCAGGGAGCCGTCTGGGGCATTATAGTCCTGAGACTACACTCCCACACCAGTATTAAGCAGAAGCATTCTGGATTCTGAAAAGTAATACCAATTTAAGACTAGTGCATTTACACTTAACCTTCCTGCAAGAATATGGTTAATAAGGCAAGCCAAGGTAAAAATTGTATTGACATTCTATCTTCGTAACAATTACACAACAAAGTTAAATTAGTTTTGTTAAGTTAATACTTTCCAGGATACTCAAACCATTGGTTAATCCTCTAAGCTAAGGTTATAGATAATCTAAATATTTGTAGACAACTTTCGAATCAGGCTGAAAGTTTTTTTTTGAGGGGGGGGGGGGTAGCCAACACTATAGAAGACCGATTAATGCTACTCCTTTATAGCAAGTGACTGCTAAGTAATTTAGATAAGCTGTTAAAAGTAAAAAAGTAATCGACTGTGTGCATTTAACAGAATAAGTGTCAAGATTGGCCTAAGTAACCAATACAGTAAACGTGTATGGCTGTATTGTATATTGGTAAACTACAACTTTTTGAACTGCTAAAACAATCCACTGTTGGGAAGTGTACAATAGAAACATCTGAATTTTACTTACTGAGCGTTTGTCCGCCTTGTGACCGCCTTGTGTAGACCTCCGAGGCGCTGACAACTGCAACACTACGAACCTGTAGTTAACTATTGTTTAGGTCCAATGGTCACGAACAAGTATTCCCGTAACTTCTTACATTACAACTATTGACATACTACACTGATGTTATGAATTATACAATCAACTGAAGTGCAATTTTAAAATATATATACACGACAGGAAGGTACATAATTAGCGTCAATCGTTATAAAAAAAAACACTAAACACCATGGATAGACATCCTGAAGATTAACAGAACCTAGTTCATGGCTTAAATTAACTTTACCCATTGCTAGAATTACATCTCTAGGTTGCTGAATTAAAGTAGTCGTTAACAACTTGATATAGCTTGGAATATATATATTTTTACAAGGGAGCAGGGGGGCGGGGGAGAGGAGACGCAACAAGGGAGCAGGGGGGCGGGGGAAGAGGAGACTCAACAAGGGAGCAGTGGGCCGGGGGAAGAGGAGACGCAACAAGGGAGCAGGGGGGCGGGGGAAGAGGAGACGCAACAAGGGAGCAGGGGGGCGGGGGAAGAGGAGACGCAACAAGGGAGCAGGGGGGGGCGAGGGAAGAGGAGACGCAACAAGGGAGCAGGGGGGGCGGGGGAGAGGAGACGCAACAAGGGAGCAGGGGGGCGAGGGAAGAGGAGACGCAACAAGGGAGCAGGGGGGCGGGGGAAGAGGAGACGCAACAAGGGAGCAGGGGGGCGGGGGAAGAGGAGACGCAACAAGGGAGCAGGGGGGGCGGGGGGAGAGGAGACGCAACAACAAGGAGGGAGCAGGGGGGGCGGGGGAGAGGAGACGCAACAAGGGAGCAGGGGGGCGGGGGAGAGGAGACGCAACAAGGGGAGCAGGGGGAGGGGGGGAGGACGCAACAAGGGAGCAGGGGGGGAAGACGCAACAAGGAAGCAGGGGGAGGGGGGGAGGACGCAACAAGGAAGCAGGGGGAGGACGCAACAAGGAAGCAGGGGGGGGAGGATGAAGGGGGACGCTCCGCCACATACAGCTCACCTTCAAAGAGACGAAGCTGGAACTGTATACCAAAAGTGAGGTAAAACCACACTGAAGTGAGTTTTGTCTCGTCGTCTCTTTTATAACCAGCAGCCAACCAAACCCGGCCGCTGATTGGTTGACATTCACCCTAAAACTCACCCCATTGGTTAACATTTTGCGCGTCTGAAGTGTCAATTAACAATGGCCAACAACCACTCCTTCACTTTCCCAAATACGAACGAGTCTCTAATGAACCAATAATGATCCCCAGCTTAAATGTTTGAAGTTAATTTCAAAATCTAATTCACAAACCAAATACAACATTCTATTGTAAATGTTGCAACAGAACAACAGGTACAACAGAGCAACATTTGCAATAGAATCGGCAGTGAAGTAGTAATCGTCCGTCAGTCCAGAACTGTTAATGGCCGCTCCACAACTACAATATACAATATATGCAATAACAGACTAACAAACACAACAACCAAAATTCCTGACACAACACTGGATGATGTTAAATATTTGCTTTCAGTTGACTTAAGATATTGCTCGTTAATGATAAATTAAGTGATTTTAACTAGTTGAAGTGGGAACATTTATGCTTTTATAATAACTATTAACGTCCCATGACAGGCAACTATATTAGATAGTGTTAGATTAAGAACCTGCCCGAAACGCTGCGCGTACTAGTGGCTTTACAAGATTGTAATTACCATATTATTTTATTTTATTTTATTTTATTTATGCATATACAAGAATGTACATAAGGAATGTGAGGATACAATTATGGTAATTACAGTCTTGTAAAGCCACTAGCACGCGCAGCGTTTCGGGCAGGTCCTTAATCTAAGAAAATTTTAAGGAGGTAAATACTTGCAAAATTTATAGACAAAAAAATGATAACAGATTACATAGAATGAAAAAAAAAAAAAGATGAGAGAAAATTATAGGTACAGTATATTAAAGCACATAGGTAGCTATGATTGATTGCAATGACAGCTTAAAATGGTAGTTGCAACAAATTGGTAGGCACAATACAGCAGAAACAATATAAGATTGATTGCAATGACAGCTTGTATCCTCAAGCTATGTATTATGTATCCTCACAATCCCAATGTACCTTCTTGTATATATATAAATAAAATAAAATAAATAAAATATAAGACCATCTCGGGATATATAAAGAACATCTACAACGACGGGATAACATAACACGACATTGCCTCTCATCACATCAAGTCTGTCACGTGACACTAGAGCCTCTGATGTTGATGCCTCTCGTCGGTGAATTTTGTAACAAACTCATCAAGATTGTAACTTGCTTAGCTAAATGAATTGTAGGGTTGAGTCCCTGAGCCCATTATGTGCCTCTGTAACACTTTCCACTACCGCCCACAAGATGGGTATGGGGTGCATAATAAATGAACTAAACTAACTTGGGAACCTGTACACTGAACATTGCTGCCTTCGACACTGCTAGTGTATCCTCAGGATGGATATAGGGTCCACAACTAGTCACTCGATGTGTATGGGGTCCACTTCCACCCGTAGGATGGGTATGGGGTCCATTACCACCCGTAGGATGGGTATGGGGGTCCACTACCACCCGTAGGATGGGTATGGGGCCCACTACTACCCGTAGGATGGGTATGGGGTCCACTACCACCCGTAGGATGGGTATGGGGTCCACTACTACCCGTAGGATGGGTATGGGGTCCACTACCACCCGTAGGTTGGGTATGGGGTCCACTACCACCCGTAGGATGTGTATGGGGTCCACTACCACCCGTAGGATGGGTATGGGATCTACTACCGCCCACCCGTGTGCAATAGTCAACCCCATACCCATCCTTTGGATGGTAGTGGACCCATACTCATCCTATGGGTGGTTGTAGGCCTCATACCTATCCTACAGGTGGTAGTGGACCCAATACCCACCCTGTGGGCGGTCGTGAATCATATACACATCATCTTGGCGGTAGTGGACCCCATACTCATCCAACAGGTGGTAGTGAACCCAATACCCATCAAACAGGTGGAAGTGGAACCCATACCTATCCTTTTGAGTGGTAGTGGACCTCATAAACATCGTGTGCATTGTTGTGGACCTCCTTATATCCATTCTTTTTAAAGTAGTGTACCCCATAGACATTTCCAGTCACATCGTTTTTTGTTGACGTTCCTACAATCCATTCTCTTTTAGTTTTCAAAGCTTACACTATTGTATATAATGTTTCGGGAACGAACCATTATTATATGTAATACTTTATAGAGTGCTTCTTATAATTTACTGAGAAGCACCAAGATTTCTCCTAAGTGCTAACCTCTAACACGATGCACTGTAGAATAGTGGTTTAAATCATGGGTTGAAACATTAGTTGACACAGGATGGACTTATTATAACTTTTTTTTAACTATTTTCAATAAAGAGTAAACTATTTTGATGCCTCTCGTCGGTCTTGCCTCTCAGTCTTCCTACTTGGGAACCTGTACACTGAACATTGCTTGTGTATCCTTAGGATGGATATAGGGTCCACAACTAGTCACTCGATGGGTATGGGGTCCACTACCACCCGTAGGATGGGTATGGGGTCCACTACCACCCGTAGGATGGGTATAGGGTCCACTACCACCCGTAGGATGGGTATGGAGTCCACTACCACCCGTAGGATGGGTATGGGGTCCACTACCGCCCACATCTGTGCGGTAGTAGACCCCATACCAATCCTGTGGATGGTAGTGAACCCCATACCCATCCCATGGGCGGTTGTAGGCCACATACCTATCCTACAGGTGGTAGTGGACCATATATCCATCCTCTTGGCGGTAGTGGACCATATATCCATCCTCTTGGCGGTAGTGGACCATATATCCATCAAACAGGTGGTAGTAAGCCCCATACTCATCCAGTGGGCAGTAATGATCCCCGTCAAACAAGTGGTAGTGGACCAAATACCCATTCAACAGGTTGAAGTGGACCCCATACTTATCCTTTTGGGTGGTAGTGGATCTCATAACATCTTGTGACTTGTTGTGGAGCCTATATCCATCCTGTTTGCAGTAGTGTACCCCCCATAGATATCCCAACGTCACATTGCTGACGTTCCTACAGTCTTTTCATAATCAATGCTGTCCTGACTTTATCTCAAGAATCACTTAATATAATGTATCATAATATATATTAATTGACTGTTACTGTATATCAAGTAACTATCAAAAGAAGGCATCAAGCCAGGGTTACTGTCTCTTAATACTTGATGCAGATGTAGGCCAACATTTGCTACAAGTTTTGACTAGACATGAGTTTTTTTTTTTTTACATGTACTTTTTATCTTTTAAGATATATTTTATCAATGATATGTGTAATTCGTAAGTAAAGAACACTAAGCAGAGGGACTTGGGTTATAGAATCATTTGAAAGATTTCTGTGCATGCATATAGTTTTGATTTTTGTCAACCTCCAATGCATAACAAGTCAAAAATAAAAGTACCCTGGGCAGAACTGGGAAACTATGTTAATATAATTAATGTTGATTCAAACTGAGTAATATAATTCCACAGAAGCAGTGCTTAATTAGTGTCATACTATATCTACTAACAGATTAAAAAATCCTCAATGGAAATATATTTTGGTATTCCTAAGGATTTACTTATCTCAGAGGATCGCAACACACAAAGATAGTTTGAGGCTCTCCACTCATCTTCATATGTGGACTTTCTAGGCCCTGAGTATATTGTCACCAGTATGGTATATAAGTGGCTGGTTTCTTGGATTTACACCTGAATCTTTCTTTTATGGCAGTAGTATATGAGGTATTTAACATGTCTTCCAACCTCCTCCTCTTGATTTGGTGTCTATCCTCTGTTTCAGAGGCCATGAAGACAGCCATTTTGATATCTTAACTGATGCCTAATTCTATGGCCTTATCTCTCTTGGTTTTGGCAGTCTCTCTCATTGGAGTTATGAGGTGGTTGCCTCCCTACTGATTAATACTCTTGAAAATGTGCCATTTTCTTGGCAAATAACCTCAAAACTGCACGCACACGCGCACACACACACACACACTGATAAAATGCTATAAAAGTGATGTATGATATAAATCAAGGATGATGAAGGGTTGAAGCTGAAGCCGGCTTATTTACCAAACAGCTACAATCCAGTTTAGACAACACAAGAAAAAGTTTATCTTGAAAAATGTTCACTTACCGTATTAGTACCCAAGGTGGTATTTGACAATGCTATACAGTATTACTTTAAAACGAGGAGAGATCTTGATGCTTTCAGTACCCAAACATTGTGTATCACACCCTACATGTGCAAGTGTGAATGTTTACCTCTCAGTTTGAATGTCCTTATAAATAAGGGGCTAACAAAGGATTAAAAAGAGGATAATGAACACACCCTACATGTGCAGGTGTGAATGTTTACCTCTCAATTTGAATGTCCTTATAAATAAGGGGCTAACAAAGGATTAAAAAGAGGATAATGAACACTATGTTTTGTAGTACATAAATGTCATAACATGCTTTTATAGCAATTTAAAAATCATGGTTGGTTGTCATAAAAGATAGGGATTACTCTTAATTGTACTTTTGGAGCCTCTGCTATACAAGGGAAAAAGTCACCACAACAGCAACTAGGTCAGTCATCAATATTTGTTTTTAATGAACTGCACTCAAAAAGAGAGGACACAATACAATCAAATGCATTTATGAAAACAGTGCTGTAAAGTTCTTAAAGCACTTTCTTTTCCAGCTTGACCAATATAGCACCATTTTACCATCTGGTTGTAGTCTCTTTTTTTCCACCGATGTCTGCTCTTCTATATAATATTCCCTGCATTCTGTTATTTGACATACTTGATTCCTCATTTTGTTTTTTCTGAGCTAGAACTGGCAGAGCTTTAACAAAACAATATGTTAATTTATGATAGCTAAACATCTATCCTTACAATGGTCGCAGATCATGTTATGAATTACAGGGTAGAAATATGAATAAGGAATTAATTTCTGGATGTGATAGACTACAAGCAGCTTATTTTGCAGTAGTGTCCAAAACAACAATATGACTGGGAACTCAGCAAACTTTGTCTATCTCCTAAAGACGAGGAAAGGCCAATATCAGGGTTTGATAACTGCGGCATGTTAAGGATTAAGTGACTCCAGGGCCAGGACAGCACTGTGAATCCACCACACTAACAAATAAGCATGTAAAACTACATCCAGTTACTAAAATGAGTAACTATCAAAAAGTGCTAAGTCAGGATAGCTATATAAGCACTGTGTTACAGAATATTTGAAAGTTCCTAAATATCATTTAGGATGCTAAAATGAGAGTAGAAAGAATGAAGATCAATGTCAATTAGATTCATCAAGAAATTCGTCGAACAACACAGAGCAAACAGGAGCACTGGGGGGGGGGGGGGGGAGACAAAATTTTAGATCATCCAGAAAATCAGGAATCTCTTAGAACTGAATCTTCATCTTGTAAAGCCATTGAAAACCAAATTTAGATTCCTGATACAGTATTTGCTAAGAGAATGGTGCCAGAGATAAGAGATCTGAACTATGAGGATAGGTTAACAGAACTAATTCTAATGAGACTACAAAGAAAAGAAAATAATCAGGTATGTTGATACCATACAAGATAGTAAAGTAAATAGCTAAAGTGGACAGACAATCTTTATTCCAAATGATGGAAAAAGAGAACAAGGCCAAACCAATGGAAATTTGAAACACAAATGAGTCCTTAAATTTAAGTCAAATTTAAGAAAATGTTATACTATGTCTTAGAATTCAATTTGGATACAAAAGAAGTGAAACGAGCTTCGCGCAGAGGCTGTAGAAACCACAACTCCCTCGTTCAAAAGCAAGCATGATAGAGTTCTAAAATATGAAGCAACATAAATGCACTAGGTACACTAGCAATGAGGTGGAGCCCAAGGGCTACATTTAACTCCCTGTAGATAGGCAAGGCACACCTACTCCTCCTCATCTATACGTAAGTATAAACACAATTGGAAAACCCATAACCAGCTTTTAATATCTGACTAAAAATAACAAGGGTAAAAAATTTACATTGATATAAAAAGCACACATCATTTATTTATTAAACATATGGAGTGATCATAAAACACTGAGTTTAAAGAAATGATGTCACTCATGTTTATATTGTGTACTGACGGTAACAATGATCAAACTACATATGGAAACATAGTAAATCTACTCTATGCCCAAATGCATCATGTAGACATCAGAGAGTTGCAGTGTTAGGCTGGCTAGGGACAGAACATCAAACTGGCAATAAGGAATAATGAGCATGTACTTGAGCACATCTCAAAATTTCTTTTCAAATAGAACACTGATAAAGGCAAGAACTCTTTGTTCTAAGTTGTCCTGGTAAGTTTGTGATGGATACTCTTACTTTAATGCCCAATAATTGCCTACCACCACAAACCTTGAATATGAACTACAAAGGTAGTTAGGGGTTTTACTCAAAGTTTGCTTGTATAATCACACACATTTTACTTGGTTCAAAGGCTTGTATATTGTCATTTGTTAAATAACTCGTGTAATTTATTTAAAAAGATCATCAATCAAATACAACATATGTTAAACCATACAATATAACAGCAATGCTTATTTTGTTAGCATCAATACAAAATACAATGTCAAAATGTTACGGTATTCATTCATGTAAACCATGACCATTTACTATTGCTTCTTTAATGGCTGACTTCTTACATATTTTTATGTAACAAATGATAGTAAGAAGTTGACTACCTCTAGAAGCACCGTTACCTCGCGTAACATATTGACTCGAGTCACTATGTTCCGTTGTGGGGCTCCAGTGTCCCCACACTACTAATAGTAATTTTGTCCTTTTACCCCTCTCTTCCCATCTTTAAATTATTAACACTTACAAATTTAGTAAGTTAACACTTACAAATTTTAGAGTTTACAAATTTAAATATATTAAAAATAATTCTGAGGTTTTTTTCTTTCCAAATGAGATAATTTGTGGGAAAAGAATATATTTCCTTGGATAAACAGAATTTCTCATTCAATTCTTGATGTCACTTTCTAAAATTAGGATAAAGAGTTACCTCTTATTTTGACGTTTCTTGTAAAATTTAAGGGCACACATTAATAATACAGTACAGGTGATTAACGAAAAATGTCTTGCTTACTATTTTGCATAAATATTTTTTGGGGACGATGATGCCATAGCCTCCAAAATTCTTCCAATACAAGACTTGTATATAATAAAGTTTATCTAATAGGTAATAAAAACAAGAGAAATGTAAACTCTTGGTAATTATAGGAATTCTTATGCCGATCCCAATTGTGATATGTCTTGAATATGTAAAATTTCAGTTGGTGGCTATTTACGCACACTAATCACATAATTTATCAGTGATACATTCAGCTGAGGTAGCAGATGCTGCGTACGAGACTCACTGCCCACAGCACACGTGCAGTGATCTCTCTTCCCCCCACTGAAGACCTCTCTCTTTGGTTACACTTTATCTGGCATTTATTGTCAATAATTTTATTCTTTAAAAATGCTATTTATTATCTAAACATAGTATTTATATTTTACAAAAAAATATTCTTATTTCTCTTCTTATCCAGTTGTTTTTTTCTCAATTTCTTAGGTATCTTAGTCTGGTGGAATTTGGTCCATCCATTCACCTTGGCAAGTGTTTCTGGCAATGATATAATTTTTGAACATGATAGTGCTCGAGAATATAAACAGCATGTTACAAGCAAGAAATGTGACCAAAACCTTCATTTTCTGCAAATGATGCGAACACTGGACAGAACCCCTATGCCTAATTTGCCATAACTAGCATATATTGTACTAACTTGTATAGAATGAATGATTTATAACAAAATCCCTTTTCCAATAGTTTGCTTCTCATGAAAGGCAGAATACTGTAGACTCTTTAGCAATTAGTTATGGACATTGCAGCATTATAATTTTCTTTTCTTTGGAAGGTCACTTGGGTGCTCTTCAGGACGAGGGATAGGGATGTTTGGCCGAAATTTGGACGGGGGTCAAATAGGTAAAGTCAATTTGTAGAGAAAATTTATAAAAAGTTAAATTAGGGTTACTGAAAATGTATAACTGCCGAACACACGAAGTTTAGTTGATAAAATGCAGTGTGATATATATCACTTCACAGAAAGTGTGTTCCACAGGAATGTTCAAAGCACCGATTACGAGCAACATAAATATGTGCTCATGTTCCGAGACTAAAAATGTCAATTCGGCATAATCGATGACAAGAGGGCAACAATGCTTCATTGCAGCTTTTCCCATGTCAAAGTTGAGCACAAAGAGTTTCTAATTGTCTTAAAAAAAAAAAAAAGTCAATACTATCTTTAAAACAGGTCTTTAATATCATAATACTTGTCAAAATATTACTGCACAGCTTAAATCATTGTGACAATTCTCAGTGATAAAATATATACTGTAGATGCAAACTATGGGTGTGCCATTCTTTGGTCCATAACCTTGGATCTTTGGAATGCTATACAAGGCCTATATAAAAGCTGGAATACTGTAATGCAAATTAAACACAATTACTTAATCCAATTTGATCTGCTTAAATTGTCAAGAGCCGCTTCTTTTTTTAACACAAGTCCTGACTAGTGAAGGAAATGGATTACTGTCCACCCACAAAAGAGAATGGATTTACTTGCAACAATATGAAAATAAGGAAAAAGCAATCTAGTAAACAAAATTTTTTTTTTTTTGTAATATATGAAGATAAATATGAAGTACAAAACTTTGGGATCACTTAATGCTACATGATACAGGGCATGTGATAAACATGAGTGCATCTTTTCTTATCAACACAAGTTAGTGGAATATATAAAAAATTTGTTCCTTCTGGATTACTTACATACACTTTGACACACCTCTATTTCACTGGTGAATGCAGGAACTTTCTCAAGAGCATCAATTTACTTGTTATTATAATGGGAATTAACTTAACGATAAAAGTGAGTTTTAAATTAACAGCCAGTAGGCATTGTGGGAGGTTCAACGATATAAAAATTGGCTTTATTATTTTGCTTTAAAATAAACTATCTTGGGAATTGGAGAGCAAAATGAAGGCTCAGAGGCAGTCTATAGAAATTACTGTCACTCACAAAATTTCTCCCTCATGGCCAAGATCCACATGTAAACAGAACAAATTGCAGTGAGATAACAAATTTGTTTCTGCAGTCACCAATGCCAGCATGTGAAGGTGGGGCACCATGACAGGTGGGGAGAGTAGAGGCTGTTATGAGCGTCCATGTGTGGGTGAAGAGCAACTGAGCTGACTTAGGAATTGTAGAAAAAGTTGAGAGCATTTGATGGAGATATGGTTGCCATGAAGCATGTAAAGTCTGCATAAAGAAAGATCAGTAAGTGTGATGAAAACCAGTAGGTGAGTAGAGGCAATAGATATGAAGGCGTAGACGAGACTGGGCAAATGGTATGAGTGTCTAATGTGTAGTGTAAGGGTAGGAGGAAATCTGGCATGACTACACACCAGCCGAGAAAAAAGTCAAAGAAAAAAAAGAGGACATGGAATATTAAACATGTCATCTCCAACCTGAGAGCTAAGTTTTACCTTGTAATTACATACAACCATGTGTATAAAATGATTAATATGACCTCTCACATAGACGCAAATCTTGGTGCTTCAACAGACCTGACTGTGTAGTACATGGTATAGCAGTCTTCCAGTGCCAAACATTCAACAAGGTTTATAAAGAATTTGATGATCCTGAACTGCACAAGTCTTAGGCCTGTAATTTTGAGATTCGTAAACTTTATGAAGTACCCACAATGAATTTTTCTAATAGGAATATGCAGACATCCAAATCTTACTCTAAAACCAGCTGTAATAAATGGAATGGTCTAAGGGAATGATATACAAATTAGACTTAATTGTCCATTACCCATTACTCCAAAGAAAGTTGCTATGACAAATATGGTAACGTTGTACCCAAAATGTACATAGGTATCAGAAGATTTATTAATTTGTAAAGATGAATAACTCAGATAAAAATAAATGTGTGGGATACACTTCACTACCGATGGGGCGATCACTTATGACGGTACCTTAAATGAACATACATGAGCCAAATACTAATAATGAAAAAGCTTTACATGTGTTTACTACACGAGTGCAACAACTGGATTACTGGGATGTCCATCCTTATAGTTAGCACTGTTTTCCACACCGGAAAAAAAAACTATAAACCACATTTCTCACAAAAATTCTTGACCAAAAATGTCAAAGCACCACTTGTCTTGCCTTTTCACATGTATTTCACTGTATCCATCTGAAGATTCATTGATATCAGATTTCATTCATACTCTGACGCTCAGTACAAAGTTAATAATAAACCACTACTTATGATAAATAACATTTCATCATATGCAATCCTTCAGTAACATCCGCTCTTCTCAGTCATCACCGTCACACTTCAACAGATCATAAATATATTTTAAGCATTACTTCTCACTAAGGCCTGACACAGAACTCATACTCATAGAGTTAAACAACATTACACCAGGGCTCCATATCATGACAAAACAGCAAAACTTGTCTGTTTGATTATGACCACACGCTCACTGCCAGCTTTGGCTCTTATAACTGAAGTTTCTTGTACAAATTCTTTCTTTTCCTTTATCTGTGCCCACAAATATCTTTCCACATGTGAGCATGGTTGTCTTTGTCAGAGCCACAAATGTTTCTGTGCATTCAACGTGGTCGTTTGATTAGTTTGTGGTAACGAGAGGGTCACTGTGTCGTCATACCCCCTGCGACTGGCAGCACTGAAGAAGGCTGTACACAGCGAGTGGCAGTCTGGATAGCCCCACAGGATGGCCACTTACAGTGGAATTATCACAAGTTTACTCCAGCGGTGGGGCTGAAGCTGAAACACACCAGACATATAATTAGCATTTTACTCAACGGCACACAACGATAACACATTAATTTTGTATGTATATATTATATTATTTTATTATATTTATATATAATATATATATATATATATATATATAAATAATACACACACACACATACATAATATACACACACTGTACATATAAAAAGCAACTACAAAAATATTATGTAAAAAAGCTAAAATTGCATTCAAAATCCAGATGATTCAAAACTATGACGCTAAAATATATACTGCGAGCAAAACTACATACAGTATCATCCGAAATAAACCATAAAAAAGAAAACTACTAAAAACTAATGCATGGTGAGCTCCATCTATGACTTGAGGCCAATCTCACAAAAAAACTACAAAGCAAAACTAGCATGATAATTTGCCAAAGGACACAAATGATTATTTTATCATCCCCCAGAGTGGTGCTATAAACACTAGACTAATTACAGAACTAAATTTGCAAAATGTGTGAACATCTACCGACTATTCCGCGTGTGATCCGTGCAGTAATTTTCAGCGTTGATTAGAGCTTCACCATAAGAATGAAAACAATACACATTCTGGGGACTAGGTAACATTTATGCAACACTAACTGACTCAGGCATAGCTTATTCTCTATAACAAAGAGGTAGTGTAGGTTTAGGGACCTATCTTGGGAAGCTGGGTGAGTGGACGTCACAAGTAACAGTGGACTGAAAGACAGGTTTGAGGATGTAGCAAGAGAAAGATCCATTATTTGATTATGCTGTAGCAATTAAGTGTGCTCCTAACTGATGGAGAAGATTATGATGAACGGCAATATGAGTATTTATGGCAAGTGAGAGTAATGACGAAGCTGGATATGGGAGATGTAACAAAACAGGATCGGTGGTGAAGGAGTTATACTACAAGTGCACAGTAACAGGTGCTCAGTATAAATAAAAATATAAGCACCACAATTGTGGTTAATAAAAAGAGTCAGTGTGTTGTGCAGATGGAGAATATTTTATACTTAATAGTAAACAAGGATTGTGAAATGCAAATTTACATGTCTAAGAAGATTTTGTTTTGGTATTTGAATTGCCATAAACTATAAGAATGACATCAAATGACAACTGTGAATCAAGAAAATATACACAGTATCTGAAATATGTTCAGAAATAGCTCATATACAGGTAGTATGAAAGTAGATTGATGACAAGTATGGTAAAATAAGAAATGGAACTGAATTTGGAAATGGAGAAATAATATAAAAAAATACAGAATGAAGCAAGATGTAGTAACCAAATTAATGTTGAGTATTTATGTGGTATAAACACAATGTGAAGGTCAAGGAAAAAGTAGATCGCTTGCTGTTGGCAACTACCCATCCTCATTTCCTCTGGAAGCTTTCCGTCCTTGAGAAGCAGGTCATACAAAGTCATCTTCAAGCATTTAACATACCTTCAAGTACTTATTAAGACTTGAAGGCACACTTAACTCTGAAGAATATGTATCACAAAACTTAGGGACAAAATTAGAGAGAGAATAAAATACAAAACAATGTCACACAAGTTTTAAAGTGACAACTTTGGAGGAGCATGGCTCTAATAACCATCTGAAAGCAAGTGACAAGTGAAATATAATTACTGATCAGGGTTGGCATTCCTCTTCAAGTGCATCATGATATAATTCCTTGCGAGAATGTGCAGCAAGAGCACGCTTTGAAATTCGTGTGTGTGCGCAAAAACAACTTATCAAGAGGAAGAAGGTGTAAACACAAGTGTATTTTAAGATTTTATAGATAAGAACGGGAGAAGAAATGCAAGGTGCAACACGCAAACACACATACCTTACACTATACAGCAGAGTTCTCGTGCCGTCTGCCGCCTGCAACATGTTACAATAAAAGCTTTGTTGAGGCACTGGAGCAAGTGATGGTTACCAAAGTGATGTCCCTGCAGCAGGGACTATCAGCAAGGCTCACACCTTGTTTTACCTGCATGTGACTATTCTGTGCTATAGCATGACCTGTGTTTTGACTTATATAATAAACCTTAATGAAAACAACAACAATAATTTCAGTGTTTGTGACATGAACATCTTTATATAGAGCCATATGCACAGAAATAGCCAGCATTCAGTGAATATAACAAGGTCTAACCCTAGTTATTGCAGGCAAGCTTTTGACAAGAAAAGTCATTTGAGAGTAGGAGCCAACTGTGAGTATTGGGAAGCTTTAATGGGATAAGAAGTCTCACTGATATTAATAAGATGATAAGAAGAGCCTTGATATTAATACAATGACTGCTGTACATACTATATTTGCAAAGCTCTTTCTAATATCTGGCAACCTATTTTCCCCTTACATCTAAAATGTAGCATTATCTAAAATGCAGTACTAAAAAGCACAAACCATAAACTGATCATCAATTTCATGTACAAGAAAAAACTAGGCTACAAGTTATTATTAATTCCAAGTTTGTCAACAGTTAGCACCTGAATACTCAAGACTCCTTGCAGGTTGCCACAAGTCCTGTAATTTGTGAAGCTTACCAATTATGATTGCCACACATTACAAGTGGTGCTCTGGTTAGACTCTAACATACACAGCACTCAATGTTATGTACAAATATAAACACAATGCTTATTCATTGCACATGTCAAACAAAGTTGGTTCTAACTCATAATCCATAATCAAAAGTATGACATGATATGCTGTAAATTAGAATTATAAATGAATAACTTGCAATACCTTGACACTACACCAAACTTAAGAATGGAGTGTCCATGTTAGCAACAAGTCCCACTCCACATACCATAAAATTTGAGTTCCTTTTTTACAAGTGTTTTGGGTGTGTAAATGCACACACACATATACATGCATGTGTAAGTGAACACATGTGTACACAGATGTACAAGTATATACATGTGTTTACAGATGTACAAGTGCACATGTGTATACAGATGTACAAGTGCACACACATGTATAAAGGTGTACATGTGCTGCATGCACATGTACACCTCTCTCTAGTGGAGAGAGAGAGAAGACAAAAAAAATCACGAACAATATGGTGTACACAAAACACACTAGTTTCAGATACCCCGATAAAGGAAAAGTTAAATCTCTACCCCTCCACAATCCCCTTGTATAATGAGACATGGCTACTCCAGTCCTACGCTGTAAATACAAAAATAAAAATAAACATGCACTTCCAAAGTATAGCAAAACTGGAAATCAAAAGCAGTGTGGCCAATATTATGATCATTCCAGTCCTCTCGTGCAAGATGCATTTAAACTTATGGCAACTTAAGAGAGAAATTATAACGAGAACTTTTCTGGAGATATTTTGTCAAGGCACAAGAGAGAGGATGTCGTTACATGTATATAACCCCAGATGCAAGAAATATATTCTTTAGAAATTACTGAAATGTGAAGATATTTATTTTAAAATTACTGTCATTGCAAGACTTTTAAGTCCGAGGGTAGGCACTTTTGGTGCTACAGCAACTTTTGTTTTACACAAGATAAACACATTCCTCAACCCCTCATGTGGTTGTGTGATATAAACACATTCCTCAACCCTCATGTGGTTGTGTGATATACACACATTCCTCAACCCTCATGTGGTTGTGTGATATAAACACATTCCTCAACCCTCATGTGGTTGTGTGATATACACACATTCCTCAACCCTCATGTGGTTGTGTGATATAAACACATTCCTCAACCCTCATGTGGTTGTGTGATATAAACACATTCCTCAACCCTCATGTGGTTGTGTGATATAAACACATTCCTCAACCCTCATGTGGTTGTGTGATATAAACACATTCCTCAACCCTCATGTGGTTGTGTGATATAAACACATTCCTCAACCCTCATGTGGTTGTGTGATATACACACATTCCTCAACCCTCATGTGGTTGTGTGATATACACACATTCCTCAACCCTCATGTGGTTGTGTGATATACACACATTCCTCAACCCTCATGTGGTTGTGTGATATACACACATTCCTCAACCCTCATGTGGTTGTGTGATATAAACATATTCCTCAACCCTCATGTGGTTGTGTGATATACACACATTCCTCAACCCTCATGTGGTTGTGTGATATACACACATTCCTCAACCCTCATGTGGTTGTGTGATATACACACATTCCTCAACCCTCATGTGGTTGTGTGATATAAACACATTCCTCAACCCTCATGTGGTTGTGTGATATAAACACATTCCTCAACCCTCATGTGGTTGTGTGATATACACACATTCCTCAACCCTCATGTGGTTGTGTGATATACACACATTCCTCAACCCTCATGTGGTTGTGTGATATAAACACATTCCTCAACCCTCATGTGGTTGTGTGATATAAACACATTCCTCAACCCTCATGTGGTTGTGTGATATAAACACATTCCTCAACCCTCATAGTTTTATGTAACGTTATGTGATATAAACACAATCTTCAACCCTTGTGTGGTAAAGTAAGATTATGCGAGATAAACATGTACCTCAACTATCTTTTTTTTTTAAGGTGGTATTACCTCACTCTAAATGATGCTTCAGTAAGATGCTAATGTTGTTAAAATGTTGAAATATGTAGCATTGTTTATAAATCTATGAAAGAAAAGCAAACCAATGAAAATATTCCCCAACAAATTGTAAAAATATCTTTGACTTTCATAAATGTTTCTAAAACAGTTATTATTTTGTCTAAATGAAAGTAGTTTCTAAATAATAACTGACAGGTCAAACAAAGCCAACAAAGAGCAAAAAAGGATGCCGGAGTAAAGTGCGGAAATGGTGACACATTAGCATCATAATGGTGGTTGTTTCCTAGCACAGCAATTTGGGGAAGGTGCACAGCATTAATTAAAAAGCTTTACCGTTTGCAATATGTACCCCATTGGTGTAATGGTTAGCTTGGCTGACTGCTGATCTACCAGCCCGAGTTTGATCCCCGGCGCAGGCAGCGGGCACACAGTTCACCCAGCTGTTGATCCGTCCTTCAGGTGGGTAGATAAATCAGTACCAACTAATGTTGGGCAGTAACTACCACTCACTGCTGTGACATCAACCCGTCCTCTTAAAAATAACGTCACTTTTCGCTGGTATGCGCACTATGGCCAAATTTGGACGTAATTTGAAATGAAATCTACTTACAAAAGTGACGTTCTGTTCCGTTTTCTATTTGAGTCGTCCGGCGTACGCGCAGAGGTTATAAGAGGACAATTTAAATTAACGTTTTTCATAACGTTTTGAAACGTTATGAGAATTTCCTGCCCACCTAACCTATCAGAGGACCCTTAACTTACTGTTGTTGAAAAAAAAATCCCAAATTTATTTTCACTTTATTTTTCATTTTCAAATTACGTCCAAATTTGGCCATTCGGGCAAACGGCCAAAAGCGACGTTCTTTTTAAGAGGACAGGTTGGTGACATACCTAACTAGCTCATTACATGATAACTTGGCACGAGCTCCTGACAACTGTAAGCCTCCCACACACTCCATGAGCCTAAGGGAGGTGGTATTACATTACTATTGTTTTACTGCATGTTAAGTGTGGCTCTCATAATTAAGAAAACTGCATAATATTGCCACATCAGCAGCACAAATGATGCAATACTGCTGCAACTCAGCACACATATACAATATTTAGTTATATAGTATATTTATTCCATATACAGGTACAGTACTTAATTGCAGTACTGTATGTATATTTTCAAAACCATACCACTTCTAATTAAAAAGATACATGAAGGACAAAATGCAAGTTAGAATCACTATTGTAAGTAATCTATAAAGGCACTGTTATGTGTTAATTTTTTTTTACAGACTACTGTATCCCCTATTAGATTAAACGATGATTATTTTATACTTCAAGGTTTAACGTGGAAGTAAAATTGAGTAAACACTTAATTAATTGAATCTGTCATAATTTTCGTACTGTCATAGTTCCTCTTAAAATTCTATACACTATTCACAGATTTTTATATATGTACTGTATAGTGTCAGGTTTGGTGAGCAAACATTGTTTGTGATTTGTATTGTGTTGTGGTAGGAGTTATTGTGGTATTGTTGTAATTATCTAAGTGTAGTTACAAGATGAGAGCTACGCTCGTGGTGTCCCATCTTCCCAGCACTCTTTGTCATGTAACACTTTGAAACTACTAACAGTTTTGGCCTCCACCACCACCTCACTTCACTTGTTCCAACCGTCTACCATGCTGTTTGCAAAAAAAAACTTTCGTATGTGGTGATCATATCACCTCTTTTGCTTCTATTTTCTAGTTTTGGCATGTTTAATGACTTTAGACTCTCCTCGTAACTCTTGTTTTCCAGTTCCATAAGCCATTTTGTAGCATTTCACTGCACTTTCTCCAGTTTATGTGCTTCTTGAAATTTGGTCACCATACAACTGCTGCATATTCCAATTTTAGTCTCACAAAAGTCATGAACAGTTTGTGGGTGTGTGTACTCGCCTAGTACTCACCTAGTTGTGCTTGCGAAGGTTGAGCTTCGGCTCCTTGGTTCCGCCTCTCAACTGTCACTCAACTGGTGTACAGGTTCCTGAGCCTATTGGGCAATCACCCCTAGATCTCTTTTTTATTAGAATTCTATAAAGATTTCTCACATAATTTATAGGTTGTGTGGGGTCTATGTTCTCCTATTCCACATTCCATGACACGGCATTTATTTACATTAAATTTCATTTGCCAAGTGGTGCTCCATATACTTATTTTGTCCAGGTCTTCTTGAAGGGCATGACAATCATCTAAGTTTCTTATCTTCCCTATTATCTTAGCATCATCAGCAAACATGTTCATATAATTCTGTATTTCCATCTGTAGATCGTTTATGTAGACAATGAACATTA